AAGTAAAGCAATTCAAGAATGTACCAAGTAATAATTAGACCGGTCCGCCAGGGCCGAAGGTGTGGAGAGCTGTGCAGACGATATCGGATGGGAAGGTTTTGACGTAGCCCCATGCGGTTCTGTGGTTCTGCGTTCTGCAAGGTTGAGGACACAGAGCCCAGCTGCGGCAGGAATGAATGCTGAATAAATTAAGCATTCTGCCAAGTTAACACTTGCCTGGCAGAGGCTCTTTCCCTCCAAGCCCAGGTGTGTGTGAATGTGTGCACTGTACGTGTGAGAACATTTTTATTGTGTAAATATGTTTTGTGCGAATGCAGTATGTGTGCATGCTTTATCACACAAGTGTGTGTGTGTGTGCACATCTTACTCTTTCCAGTGTCTGGCACTGGTAGGGGGATGGGAGTGTGTGTGTGTGTGTGTGTGTGTGTGTGTGTGTGTGTGTGTGTGTGTGTGTGTGTGTGTGTGTGTGTGTGTGTGTGTGTGTGTGTGTGTGTGTGTGTGTGTGTGTGTGTGTGTGTGTGTGTGTGTGTGGTGTGTGTGTGTGTGTGTGTGTGTGTGTGTGTGTGTGTGTGTGTGTGTGTGTGTGTGTGTGTGTGTGTGTGTGTGTGTGTGTGTGTGTGTGTGTGTGCGCAGAAGTGCGTGCCAGGAACAGTTCGGGAATTTGAGGCGGTGTTTCAAAGGGTCCCAGGATAGTTAGCAGGCTTCAAAGCAGCAAGACTGGAGCTTGTTCTCTCCTTCACATCCATCCACCCACACACCTACAATCTTTACGCGCTTTCCCCCCTCAATAACAGGATTTAATATATATATATATATATATATATATATATATATACATTTTTTTTCTCCCTAAAATCTATTTTTACATGTCTGAACAAAATGTGGATAACCTCAGCGCCCTAAGGATATTTTTTTTTTTGTGATGGGGTGTACATGGTAGGCATGGCACAATGTGGTTAACCAGGCTGGCATGAAGGCTGGCTCTTGTCTCCAAGCCACACAAATAGAGAGGGAGAGACAGAAAGAGAGAGCTGATATGTGTTGTTGTGGAAGTAGGTCAGGCGTCACATTCATTAACATCCTCCTCTCATGCCCAATGATGTGAGCCGCTCCCACTATCACACACACATGTACATGTACATCTTGCTGCATGTGCACACGCATAAATCAGGCCACGCATAACTTGCATATTAAACATTATCAGAGCTTATCAATTCAAAGCAGATGCTTACATTCGCCATGAATTTGTGAACAAAAAAATAATAATAATAATAATTGTTGGTACATTATGTCGGCCATCATTTCATAGCGCTTTAACCCCACCATCGAGGCAATAGATGTAAACAAACTTGGTTACCGTGGAGATAAAAGCAGTACTTAGTGTCTGCCTGCTCTCTGGACGACTGGACTTCTGCCAGAGCGGCACAGCAGAGTGCTCTACACAACTCTGTCCCACTTTCTTTCGCACGCTTTCCTCGCATGCACCCTCTCTCTCTATCTCGCTCCCTCTTCCATTATCCACTCCACTTTCTAATTCTACCTGCTTTGCAAAAGTTGTGTGCCTGAGTCAGTCCCTTTCTCTCCTCTTATGTCGTCTCCTTCCTTGCTTTCTGCCCACTCCATTCATCCTTGTCTCATTCTTTCCTAACTCTTGCAGTCATAAGCTTTCCCTCTTTCTCTGTCCCTCCCCCTCTCTACTCTTAGCAAGGTCACTTGGAGTTGCATGACAAAGCGACTTCACTGACATTCAGCAACAACCCCTCTCTCTCACTCTCTCTCTCTCCTTCCCTTCCTGTAGTCCTGCACTGCTGCTTCTCAGTCATTTTCCCATGACAATTAGTTAAAGCCTGGACCTAAATATAGATATATTTGACTTTTGGCCAAATAAAACCTTACTTGGTCTTTAATATGGGATCTCAATCCAAGGATGTAACCAAAAGTCCAAGATTGTTGGAACAGTTTATGAATGAGAATCAATGGTAAATTGTTTCAGAACCTTGGAGATGTGATTGATGATCAGTAAAACTTCAGAGAACTGCCCGGTCCTGTAGATTTGCCTGTACATTAGGAAAATCAGGAGCATGCTACGCAACCCAAGCTGTTCTATCCACACTGGACTATTGTAATGCTCTCTTGTCAAGTCTTCCAACATCAACTGTCAAGCCTCTGCAACTGATCCAGAATACAGCAGCAATAGTGGTCTTTAATGAGCCAAAGAGAGCGAAATGTCATACCTCTCATAAAATTGCACTGGTTGCCAATTGCCACTCGCATCAAGGCACTTATATTTCAAGGCCTTTACCTTGTACTGTTCCATGCTAGTGGAATGACCTGCTTATCTCAACATGAGCAGTTGAGACTTTAGCCATTTTCAAGAAACGGCTGAAGACGCATCTTTAACGTAAACACTGGACTTGACCCACTAACACTTACTATTCTGTATCTAGCCTATTAAAAAACTGTGCTAGACTAACTGGGACTAGTGACAGCACTATTGTTTGGTTGATTGATTGGCTCTCCTAATTTGAAGGTCACTTTGGATAAAAGTCTGCTAAATGATTAAATGTAAAATGTTAAAACAACCAACCATAGTTCACTTTCTGTATGTGAGGTTTTGGAGCAGGTATGAATTTGGAATACCTGTATTTTTTATATGTCTAAAAGTAGTTCAGTTTGAAGTATAATAACCCTTGTTTAGATGACAAAAGCAAGGTCAAACATGCATGCTCTGGGTTAAGTGATAGAACATCCTTTCATGCTCTACCGCACGCATAATTGGTTTTTATATCTCTTGTTAGTTTGATATGGGTAAGGGTAATTATGTCTCTTTTTTGTGGTTTAGGGCATATTTAGTTCTATTTTTCATTGGTATCCTTTAAAATACCTTGTAATTAATGCCTTTATCTTTTTATATTTGCACAGTCTAATTTATATTTCGCATTTTTAATTATATTCTGGGGTTTTTTCATACTTTTGCTTGATTTTATTTATTAATAGGCTACTATTACTTAACTAATGCTGTTGTACTTATTTTGCAATGCAAATAGGCTACAATAGTGAGAGAAAGAGAGAGAGAGTCCAAAATTTACATCTTCCTTTCCACCCCGATGGATTTGACAGGGTTAAACATATCTCTCTTTCTTTGTTACCGTCTTGTACGCACGTGAACGGTTGTATTCTGTTCGACAACAAAGGCAGCGGATTGCTTTGATAACCTCTGCTGCTGTGATATCTAATCTATTAAATGCACGCTGAAATGCGAGTTGCATGAAAAGCTGTGTGAGCGCGCGGGGCGGAACTGAAAGGGGAAGCGGCTTGACGAACTGCTTCACATGAAATGTGTGCGTGTGGATGGATGCTCTGGAAAGCTTGTTAGGTGTTGGGGTGTAGCTCAGGACAGAAGAAAAAAAAGAAAGAAAGACTTATCGTGGGCACCATCGGAAACGCTGTTTAACTTGGCGAGCTCTGCCGGATAGAGCGCAAGCTGCGTCCTGACAGACTAAAACGTGTCGTCACTGCTTCTAATGAGCACACTAATAATTTATATTTATCAATACAGTTGGCTGATTGGATAAAGAGCAGACTGGTTTGTTTTTTTCAATAAGGGGATCGATAAAGACAGGCGACAGAGGTGCTCAGAGTAAACTCTTGAGGAGGATCAAGCGGTTAAACGCACTGAGCTGTTTTTTGTTTAGGACTGTGAGTGTGCGCATGCGCCATCTAGCGTTCGCTTGGTGAAAAATCTTTTCTTTTATTTTTACTCGTATCTCTTATGGATTTGTGAAAGAGTCGCTGATTATCATAGGAATCAACTTACTGTTGTCTTTCTTTGTTTTTTGCAGGAATTTGAGCGACTGATGAAACATAAATTGTTTAAATAATGTTTAACAATTACTCATACGAGTTCTGGCATTATTTACTCACCCTTTATTGTTTTAAACCCATATATGAACTTAAGTGAATGGTAAACAAAGCTGATTAAATGATAAAAATGTTAATTTTGGGGTTAACTGTCACTTTAGGAAGTAGTAACATACACGAGTTTTCTTAATAATCATTAGACGTTTTAGCTCTTAATGGCAAACAGAATCGCATGGACAATTCAGAGGCACAGCACAACCAACAAAAGCATCCAAACCAGCTTTTCATTCCTGCTGCACATACCCAAGTGCTGGATCAATATCCATTACCAGCACTAGTGCTGCAGACAAGCCATTCATTTCCACTGCAAAGCACCACGATATTCCCCTTGGGAAGCCGTTTCATCACTCTGCCTGCTACAAGCAAAGATGATTACACCAGATTCATGCTAGGCGTGTCTGTTAGTGCCTCAGATTACCTCTGCTTGTTCTCCAGCTTGATATTAGCTATGTGTGATGCTAAGCATATGTAGTTTAAGATTTAATTGAATTCACACAACATAATAAACCCAGTAATTTCATTTTGTGTTTATGTTTGTGTCTTCATGACGTGAAGCAGATCATTTTGTTCTGCCATTGACGGTTTGTAGTTATCTCTCAAAGTCTTCATAATAGTCTATGATTAATGTTCTACTCCGGTTACGCATGAGTGCGAGGTGTTTTCAGGATTCGGATGGGAGTAGAGGGAGGGAAGAGGGTGGGGAGCATTTCTTCTGTGGGAATAGGAATATGGAATGCCTAGCTGAACTGTTCGGGCGGAGGGGTGCATTTAGACAAAGCCAACAAAAACAAACGTCCATGGCTCTGGGAAGGCATGGTCTGGTCTGAATCCTCTGTGGTTATTTACAGATGTTTACGACTTTGCTAAGGAAAGAAGCCCTGTTAGAACATGTGGGCTTGGTTGAGATGACCTTTTTAGCGGCTATCAGGGTGAGATTACAGTTGTTTGTGTGGGTCAAGTGAAGGTGAGATCATGTCTGTGTGGATAAGATGGCCATTGTTTCGACACGTTTTCATTTGAAAAGTTTGAAACTGAATGCAGGTTTAATTGTGATCTTTCTTTATCTTTGTCTATCTTAGGATCAAGGTGCAGGAATGGTGCCTCATCTTCAGGACGCCCCGTCAGCAGTGCCACGGCAGCCCCAGAGCAGTTACAATAATATGATGCTTAAGAATCAGATAATAAACAAACATCTTCAACATGTTAGTGTTCAAACTCCTTGTTAAATGTATAATTCTCATAGTGCACTTTTGGTTTCTGAATACCTTTTCATTTGCACTACTGAAGAGGTAGTATTTATTTGCTTTAAAAATGTTCATCAATTATTGTCTGTTTATTCAAGGAAAAGCAAAGGCAAATGGAGCAAATGAATGGAGGGCATATCACAGACTGCCATCAGGTGGCACCATTTCAAGGTACATAACATCGCCACACCATCTCCACAAGAAGTCATTTTCCATAAATATTGGTAAACATTGGGGTTTGAATGCATACATTTATTATTTATTATTATTATTAATTGGGAAACCATAATTTATCAATAAGATTGCGCAAAAATTTGAGTCAAAATTTACAATAGAATTTACAACCAATAGAAACCACTCATTCAAAAATCCACACACTCCTAATAAAAATAAGTAATTTATTTATTAGACAGTTTATTTAACATATATTATTAGAAATTAACTAGTTGACTCTAGACATAAATAACATACAGTATATATATATATATATATATATATATACAGTATATATAGTATTGTAATAAAGAAGCCCTTATGTGGATTAAGTTTGGCCATGTTTTATGCAAATTAATAGCTGTATTCCCAATTAGTAGTTGAAATTGTGTTAAATTTGTACAAAAACAAAAAACAAAACAAAAAACACACACAAAATTGTGTAAATTTGTGTTAAATCACAGGATTATACAAAAGGCCCACCGTTTACTCGGTGCCAAAATTTTGCTATATCCAGTACCATTCAAAGTTTGGGGTTAGCAAGATTTTCTTTTTCTTTTTTTCTTTGAGTAAGGAATGGATGCATTAAAATTATTTAAAATGACCGTAATGATTTTTACATTGTTACAAAATATTCCTATGAACTTTCAATTTATTAAAAATCCTAAAAAAAAAAACGTATCATACTTTCCACAAAAATATTAAGTATTAATATTAAATATTAAATAGTACAACTGTTTTTTTAGCAATGATATAAGAATGAATAAGAAATGTTGGTCCCACTTTATATTAAGTGGCTTTAAGTAAGTACTTACATTGTACTTACATGTACTTACATTGAAATGAATCATTTGATAAAATGGACTTATTGTGTACATACATGTTTTTACATTGTACTTGCATGTACCAGCATGTAATTACTGCTGTAATTAATTTATGTAATTACATCTGTAATTACACAGCTGACCCATCCCTTACACTTGAGTTAAACCCACTCTTAAACCTACCCATACCACCACACCTGTCCCTAACCTTACCCGTATCACACCTCAATAGCAGCAAAACTGATTTACTATACAACATGAGCACAATAAGTACATTGTACTTATTTTTAAATGTAAGTACATAGTACTTAAAGCCACTTAATATAAAGTGAGACCAAAATGTTTTTTGAGCAGCAAATCAGCATATTAGAATGATTTCTAAAGGATCATGTGACTAATGGCTGCTGAAAATTCAGTTTTACCATCACAAGAATAAATTATATTTTTATGATTATGATTTCTGTCTTGTAGGTCCAGGTCGACCTCTCCCTCCGGAGTGTGGTGGTTATCCTATGGGAGCTTCTCTACAGTCGAATTCCACAATGCTCTCCCATAGCGGCCCTTTACCCACAAACCGAATGGGTCTTTCCTCCAGCTCGGTCTCCCAGATGGGCCCGTCGGTTGGAGGATACATGTGCAGCAAAGGATCTAAACAAACACTCTGCCACCCATCCCAAGACTTCGGAATGGCGATGCAGCCGGGCCAGAGCATGATGGGAATGGGCGGCCCTCCACGTCAAACGCTACACCCGGCTCACGGTGTGACGCGACCAGGAATGCCGTGTCCCAACCTAACCGGTGTTCCCGTGCCGACCCACCACCTGCGGCAGGCGCTGCACCAAGCCGGAGCTCTTCCGTCACGTATGATGTTCCCTTCCCAGCAGCAGCCCACGTCACAGTCCCAGCTCTGGCAGCACCAGCAAGGGGTGCAACCGCATATGGACCCCGCGAACCACCAACATCCCTTCCCCGCCGGAGGAGCCCCACCTGGATGCGGTGGTCCTCAGTTTCCACAGCGAATGACCGGCGGCATGCCAGCCAACTTCCCTGGTTCCCGTCTACCTCCTAATCAAACCCCCCCTGGTTTGGTTGGCAGACCGGACCAGAAGATTCCCACCGCCCAGCCTCTCTCCTCCATGCCCCAACAGAGCCTCAGAATGCGAGGTCCACTTTCCGCTCTAGCTGTTATGAAACCAGGAGGTCCATCCATGATGCACCCAGCTCATGGCATGGCTCCTCCTAGCTACCAGACTGCTTCCGCAGGGAAACACTGTTCACCACAGGGCTACAACCCCGGACACAAGCTGCCCTCCTATGACTACACGTCACAGCATCAGAGCAATGGGGCGATAACTGGAGGGCTGCAAGGGCCCGGGGGAGGTGGCGGTGCGGAGGTGGACTTCATTGACACTCTGGTGGGAAACAACGAAGACTGGCTGAACAATCTCACCATGATTGATGAATACCTTGAGCAAAACTCATAGGGACTGATTGAAAGCTTCCTAGGTTTGAAAATCACTACACTCAGCACCAGAACGAGGTCGTGGGTCCATCATTCTGGAAAGGCGCGTTCACACCAAGAACGATAACTGTAAGGACAAATATATTGTCCACACCAGTGGAAGATAACAGTCTGTTTTGCGTGCGCACGCCGGAAATAAACTCTCCAAGAGGGATTACTACGATATTGTTCTTTTGTGTCTTTATCGTTATAGTTGTGGTGTGGACTTCCCTATGCTCATATAAAGTTGTAAAACTTTAGAGTTTATCATCTTTGGTGTGAACAGGCCTTAAGGTCATAAAGCATTTTTTCATGGCTAGCATAAGTGAGAATGTATCGCACTGCTGAGCCCCCTGAAATGGCTTTTGGCGGCCAATAAAACGTGCTTAGAAGATGCCCCATCCTTTTCTCAAAGGTTGCTCTTCCGGTGCTTTTTGCACTGTAGTTTAATATGGAGTGAAACACTGTTTTATGAAAACATGGGCTTTCCCCAGCAGTGTCAAGAAAGTTCTCATTCAGTTAAAGGGATAGTTCACCCAAAAATGAAATTCTGTCATTGTTTACTCACCCTCAAGTCGTTCCAAATCTTCTGTGAAACACAAAAGATATTTTGAAGATCCCTGTAAGGAAGTTTAATGGGGTTTAAAACAACACAGACATTCATTGTATTGAATACTTTACATGAGGGTTGAATAAAATGATGAGAGAATTGTATTTTTTTTGTTATTGAACAATCCCTTTAAAGGCAGCGTGATAACAGTATTGTTGGCAGTCTCGTGCCAGACCAAACAAATGTGCACAGCTTTTCATTCTTGCTATTTGAAAAGTGTATAAAATCATTTCTGTGATGAACTATTTGAGGGTATTTCAAAAGGAGCTTGTCCTGTACATAAAGTATTTTGTAAAATATTTCTTAAACTGTAACATATAAAAGAGAAGTACACATATTTATGCTTCTTTTCTGCTGACGAATTCTTCAGAATTTCTTTGTAAATAATTATCAAAAGAATAAATAAAACAGAAATGCAATGATGTAAAGAAAAATGAGTGTCACGTTAAAATTGCAAATGAAATATTTTACACTAGGAAACTCTATTGTAATTTGTATTATGCAAGACAGTATGGTTAGTTTTGGAGTAATACTATGTATTACAATGGTGAAAAATTTGTTATGTTTTTGACATAACTGGACTTCTGGTACTCCAGTCTGGCTTAAGAGGGTTATTTGTTTTGTGTTTTTAAAATTGTGAGGTTTGGAGTATAATGTTTCTCACAGCGTTTCATTCTGACATCAATTGCACAGTCTAGAGGTTCTCTAAATTGTGTCATATTGCCATAGCATAATACATTTTACACTAGACACTAGTGTCATTGTAATAATACTATTCCAGCTAACAAAATGAGGATCATGACACTTTTCAGCATTTCTAGGAATGTCTCTTTCTTTGTAAGTGCACACCAGCTTCACTGAAACAGCAGACTCAGAGTAGCAGAGGGACAACAATATATGATCACACCACCTATTATCTAATACAACAGCAACACCTGTCACAGTAAGTGCATAAAACCCACAGTCCTTTGTGCCAGAGTCTTGGGTTTCCAGTAGTTCATGACCATGTAGTTTATGCCATGAACTTTAAGACATTCTGATTTGTGATTAATTGTGATTTATTATATTTTGTCTTCATATTTTTAGATTGGAAAATAAACTGTATAAAATCAAACACGTCGTCTTTTTCTTATACCTGTTGTTCTTACAGTATGTGACTCAAATTTATGACTACAGAAAAATATTAGCACCACACCTCATTTAGTGTCCAGATGCCTGATAACTGCTGTTCTAGATTGATCTATAGGTACACAGGAACAACAGGGCCAGTATATCGCTTTGTGGCTCCTTATAAAGATGAGGCGGAAATAAAGTGAAAATATTTGGGACATTGATTCAAGTGAGGAGATGCTATTAAACTATTCTTCTCACTTTCATTTCTGTTCTAGTCTGTTTTGAACAATCATAAAAAAATTCTTTATTGGGCCTGAAGTTATTACTATTTTTATGTTTTGATTATTATGGTAAAGAGGTTAATTAACATCTTTGGCTTAAAGAAGTTGTTCACTTTAAAAAAAAAAAAAAACGTTTGCTGATAATTTACTCACCCCCATGTCACCCAAGATGTCCACGTCTTTCTTTCTTCAGTCGAAAAGAAATAAAGGTTTTTGATGAAATCTTTCCAGGATTTTCTCCATGTAATGGACTTCATTGGGAACCAAACGGTTCAAGGTCCAAAAGACAGTTTCGGTGCAGCTTCAAAGGGCTTTAAACGACACCAGACCCTTCGTGACTCGAAAAAAGATTTGTTCATTTTGATGAACGAGTTTGAACAGCAGAGTCATGCATCACAGAACAGAGCATGGCGAGCATTTGTGCTTATAAAACTTAAACTTTTTTATTTATTTTTTAAATGAGCGATTGTTTCGCTAGATAAGACCCTTATTCATCGCCTGGTGTCGTTTAAAGCCCATTGAAGCTGCACTTGAAACTCTCATTTAGACCTTGAACCGTTTGGTTCCCAATAAAGTCCATTATATGGAGATAATCCTGGAATGTTTTCATCAAAAAACTTATTTTCTTTTCGACTGAAGAAAGAAAAACATGAAGAGTTCAGATAAAAAAGCCTCTAAATGCCATTTGAAATTTTCTTCTTTAATGATGATTTTTATCAAACTTGTATATTTAAGTTCAGTAATTTCACTTAAATAACAATTAATAGGTAATTATCATTGCCATTTAAGTGAAATCACTGAACTTAAATATACAAGCTTGATAAAAATGATCATTCTAGAAGAAAATTTCAAATGGCACTTAGAGGCTTTTGCATCTGAACTCTTCATATGGACATCTTGGATGAGTGAGTAAATTATCAGCAAAAGTTTTTTTTTTTTTTTTTTTAAGGTGAACTACTCCTTTAAGCTATAGAGGAAAAAGTGTTTCTCTTTCCTGTCGTGATTTTATGATTCCTCACATGGTGTTGTTTTCCAAGACACAACTAAACTTATTTCTGTATAATTTTATTCAGTGTTGGCCTTTAGTTTGGGAAATTAAATCACTATTTTCTTATCTAGAGGTAATATGAGAATGTTCATATAAAATACAAAATTGATTTATTAACCATGCAGTGAGAAGACAGTGGAGTCATCTAGGACTCAGGGAACCACACATTAATGTTCTCTATATAAAACACACTGTTTCAAATATTTGATTTCTGGTACGTTAAAAATACGTACTGTAGCCTATACAGTATCTGTTCATTTGAATGAAATTGGTATTTTCTTTGGTACTGTTCCTCTTAACGTTTGTGGTTGTGCCTGTTTCATTTTTAGACCAGCAGTTTTGCTTCTGCATATAAAAAGTGGATGTTTTTACACCAACAGCTGGTGGTTTAACAAATTTACCTCTGCTACTGTATATTATGGATCAAAGCTATTGCTACACAACAGAAGTAAGTAAAATCCAACTTGATAATCTACACTCCAAAAGTCACAACTTACTGTAAGTAATGCAAAATACAGTTTTTTTTATTCGCTTTGGTACTATTTTCACAAGTAAGGTGTACATTTTCAAAACTCTTAGTACAAAAATCCAAACTGATCACACTTGTAACGCAGCTAGTCATTCTTTCAAAACCTGATGTAATGCTTTCAGTCAGTTGCACATGTTTTCAGTCCACATAATAATTATTTCAAACACAAGATTATTGTAATATGTAATGAGAACATTTGGTTTAATCACTGAAACACAACAATATGATCTTCTTTCAGTTTAGTACTTTTAACAATCAGTTCATCCAACAGCAAACAATGCAAGATACATGTTTCAAATCGGCCTTAGAAGTGCTGAAATGAATATGCTACAGTACTATGAAAGACAGATTACACAGTTTTACTGTAACATTAGGCAATGCACTTACAGTACCCAACATTTACATAATCTATAATTTCCAAATATCCATCATATATGTAGGCCTACAAATGAAGGATCAATGAAGACATCCTTTACAATCATTTAGGCAAATTATAGTTTTTATTTTTCAGATATAATTGTAATATAGGTATACTTTCTATAATGAAATGTAACTAAAGAAGAACAAAACATAACATTTAGTGCACACATTACAGTACATAGTGGCCAATTGTGGTCAGACTGAAAAAAATTGTGAAAAAAAAAATAGCCATAACGAGTATTCATCATGTGTGGTTACTGGTTACATGTAATATAAATATTCATACAAACACACATTTTATTTCTGTAGTTCTCAAAATCCATATACTGTATATTGCTGAAATGAAAATCTATAGGTTTACCAAATGATTAATTGATTAACCATTAAGATCTGTTGGATTAAATAATAGACAAAAGTATTAAACTGAACAAAAAGAGATGCAAATCAAAAGTTTGATAGTAAGAGCTTTATGAAAGGCAGTTACTGTGAATGAAACAATAATGTAGATGAAACACTTATTTTGTGTTGTGAAAAGGATACTTTGTGATTGTGTGAATTGTACTAACACAGTTGAAAACATGATGAAATGTTTGAAAAAAGTGCACTTTTGATGATCTGTTGTGATATTAGCACTAAGAGTTTTGAAAATGTACACCTTACTTGTGAAAATAGTACCAAAGCGAATAAAAAAAAACTGTAATACAAAACCTTGTGTGTATCTGTGTTCCTGTGTTCCATCCCAGAGCCATTCATTCCCACAAAATGCTTGGTGGGCAGGCACTAATAAAGAACTTTTAACTGCCATCTGTAAGAACTGGTGGAATGATTGGCATGACTATGACACTGCAGGAAGCAGATTCAGCCATAGACCTCTCTGAGCAAGACTTTTTCGTTTGCATTTTTATAGGCACTAACAGTTTAGTGCTGTACAGAGAGCTTAATGTGCAAGAAATGAGTGCATTAATTGTGTGTCAAATATTAATGACTGGTAGCCTATAGTAAAATCTAATTTGTGAAAGGAGTGAAAGAGGTGGGGGATCTGGCATTATTTAGTAAAATGAAATCTCTTGGCCTGTGATTTTCTGCGGTGTTTTTTTTTTTTAAGAGATAAACTGGGGTGATGGTGTTAGGCAGGATTGTTAGGCAGCTTTGACAGAAATGGGCAACAACAAGATTGAACACACTAAAAAAATGTGTTTGTTCATCAGGCAGCAATGGAAAGGCTGCATGTCCATACCCTATTTCTGGCCCTATAGTTCTTTCCAAGAAATGTTGACTGACAACATAGGCTTGAGCTGAATAATAACACAAATGTATTTTTAGAGATGCTTTATAGCAGAGTTGGATAGATAGATCGATCGATCGATCGATAGATAGATAGATAGATAGATAGATAGATAGATAGATAGATAGATAGATAGATAGATAGATAGATAGATAGATAGATAGATAGATAGATAGATAGATAGATAGATAGATAGATAGATAGATAGATAGATAGATAGATAGATAGATAGATAGATAGATAGATAGATAGATAGATAGATAGATAGATAGATAGATAGATAGATAGATAGAATTCAAACAATAATAAGAAATATTCAATAGGCCTATTAAACTAGTAACCAAAATGTATTATACAAATATTTTGATACTATAAAATATTTTAATGTTGGCCTAATATAAAAAATGTGTAATGAAATAATCAAGAAAGATGCTTCGTTTATTTAATATTTAAAATATTAAAAAATTTCATACCAAGGAATGTGTTTGAGGGCATGTTTTCAGAATGGCCCTCTAATTTTACCGCTCTTATCAAAAATACAACTCCCTAAATTCCTTGCAGTAGCTACATGATTTGACAAGTAGCCAATGAACGCCGTGACCGCTGTCACGTGACTCGGGCTGAGCGCTTCCTGCGGTGGTGCAAAACAGACTGGCGATCTGAGGAACGGAGAATTCCTAGTTTCTGGGTAAGTAAACACATTTGCAAACCCAATATTGTTCGGGTTGCACGTTATGACTTTTCGGCGAGGGTCTGGTCTGTATTTAAGACGGCTTGGAGCGGACTCCGAGGTAAATGTAGCACTTGAGAGCTGCCGTACAGATAGGCCCGAGCTATTTCCTGGTCACAGTCCTGTGCTGGAATACATTCACAGAGTAAAGTGCTCACTCGAAAGCGCTAGGAGTTATGAAAGTGGGGTTTTTAGACACTTGAGACCCTTATTTCGATGTTTATGCCCTTATCTCGCACTGTTTTTACACTATGAATTGAAGTGGATATGTATACATATGGGCGAGATTAACACTGATCATGATTTTCCATCACATCATCACACAAGTTAGTGAAAGTGTGTAGCTAAGTTACTTGTTTCATGTTTGATCCGGGCATGAAACGCCGGAGGCTGAGCCTTTATGTAGGTGTAAGTGAAACTGCCTTGGACAGATTGTTTTCATTTTCTCTTATCTCTAAGTTAAAATTTATAGGCTAATCAACTTTTGTATACGACTTCAAGGCTGTGGGATTTTGTGTTATGCGTGTTGAATATTGCAGTGCATGAAGGGTGTAAATGTGCCCCGTCATCTCAGAGCCACACATCAGTCCTTCCTGTCATCGTTATAAATACCCCTCTCTCTCTTTCTCTCCCCCCAGACTGGTGCTATAATCATTTACATATCTGACCGCTGACCTCATTTGTCATGCCCTCAGGTGTTCATTTGAA